GCACAGAGATAAATACTGCAGTTTGAATTCTCTGTCGAATTGTCATGCTTTTTTCTTGAAAAGGATGGGGTCTAGATGGCGACAAGTTGATTTCCTTCTAAATGAGGTACAAATGGCACCTCATTTACTGTGAAGTTGGAGACTTTTTAAAACTGGGGTCTATTAGCTCTATGTGTTTGCAATACAATAAGATGTAGCCTGATGCAAAAAATTCAGCATCAGCTACTGCTCCAAGAAGCCTGGCCTGTTGTTTCTGAAAATGATTCCTGTAGTGAAGAAATGGGGAAGGAGGGAGGAAGGGAGGAGAAGGGAAATGAATGCGTAGCTAGGCTTTTTTACTTAATTGACAGGACACTGTAAAAACAGTGTGACATATTCTTATCTCTTCCCACTATCATCTGGATGGTCTTTGGTAGCTACAAGGAGAAGAGCTATTAAAATTAGGAAAAAAAAGATTCAAGAATATGAGGGGAAACATACTCTCATGCACCCCCATCTCATGCTAACATGAGTCAGTTTGCAATCAGCCACAATAGTTTGGAAGGACTCCAAGGTCCACAAGTTCTGATATATGCGATGTTTCTATTTTTGTGAGCATCTACAACTGCTGTAGAGCATTTAGCTGGTATTTATCATTTGGAAAATACTAAAAACTCTCCTAATATCAAACCATAATAAGAACACAAACTTCTTTCCAGTTCTTATTCCACTCAATATTGATGAAGTTTTTACTATTTCAATCACCATTTTGCACTTGCAACTTTGAGTTATGCCCATAATAAAAAATAACAGTGACAGTTACTGTACTACATCAAGATACCAGTCATTGGTCCTTGGTACATAGAATAACTGAATTACTCTATGGCCTTGACGGACATTTTCGGAGAACACATTTAAATAAGAGCAGCTATATCAACTGAAAAGGCCAAGAACTATTTAAGCAAGAATTGTTTAGATGTTCTCTAAAATAATTAAGCATGAAAAGCCTCTCTCGATTCCAAGGTTTTGCCTGTAGAAAATATGTATTGCTTCCCTGATAGCATTGCCATTTTTGTTGCCAGGTGTTGCATGCAAGTGTCAGTGTGTTTGGTCTTTCCGAGACTCGCACAAGGTGGCTGCATGCAGGCTGCCTGTGAGAGTGGCAGTGATGGAGAACTTGCTTGTGAGATTTCTGATGTTCCTCTGTAAAGCTAAAGGCAGGATGTGGTTGAAATGAATATGTCAAGACATTGCTATACACCGATATCTGTATTGCCATTTCTATTTCACTGCCCCATTCGGAGCAATTTAAGTTGCCCGTGATGGTGCTATTTTTCTGCTGTCAACATAATGTTGTTATATTGCTCAGTGGCCAATAGGCAGACCTTGGGCACCCTTGCTGCAACCCTGGAAGATCCATTTCCAAATGGGGCACTGGCAACGCTTGAGTTTGTAGCTAGCTCTCCTTGTCTGTCCCGTGGACAGGCAGTCGGCTGGAGGCTGCCCGTGAATGCCAGGGCTGAATGTCTGGCCTTGAGTGCACTAACAGGCCTTGATGGCCCAGGCTGGCCTCAGCTGGGGCCTCCCTCTGCTCACGTGTCCAGGGGCTCCAGCCAAGCACAGGCCCGGCTCCCTAGTCCTTGCTGAAGTCAGGTTGTAGCTGTTCCTGTTTCCAGCTCCGTGGTGAGCAGGGACGCTCCTTTGGCAGTCTCTCCATGTCCGTTCAGGTGCGCAGCTGCCCCTGCACACACAGGAGCTGCCTGCCTTGGCCGCCTGCTGCTCGTGGGGCAGGGACTGCATCCCTGCTGCTGCTGGCCGTGACGTCCTGCTGGTGAGCCCTTGCCTCATCTTCTCACACCTTGGAGCACATGAAGCACCAGACTAGCATGGGTCACCTCAGCCTTTCAGGAGCCTCTGGATGGCATGTGTATGTTTAAAAGGCATTGGGTGTACCCCAGAGTAATGTTTTCAGCGAGATTTCCTCCTGGAAGAATCTAATTTACACGCACCGTAGCTGTTCTGCTCACTGCACCAGCATTCAGCGTGGTCATTACTTGGCTGGGGATTCAATTAAAAAGTGTGCTACTCCTCCAGACAAAACCAATAAGGTAGATGAAACCTTGGGATGTGTCTCCGTGCTACCTTTAATTTGGTCTAACTGGGGTGCCTCTGGAAAGAGCAGTAGCCCTCCTGTTCTCCTCTCACTTTCAGCGTGCTCCTTCTGCTTCCTTCCTGAGTTAGACCCGTCACTGTAAATCTTCCGGCTTAGAGGGAAAGCTAACTCCTGGAAAAGCTATTACTTTTCCCCCGGATCAGCAAGCTGATCCAAATCACTACAGAGTTGCACAATTACTAAATCTTAACACAAGGGAAGAGGCAGAAAAGTGAAGGGAATCAAGTCCACCCCTGCTGGCCCTAGCCTACTGTTAGATTAGATTAAGCATAATATGAAACTATACCCTGAAGGAGAAGCATGTAAGTTCATTCAGAGAAGATTACAACTTTATGTTAGTTGAGAATTTGCACAGATGAGGTTTAAAAAACGTTTAAAAATATACTGTAATTCCCCTGTTCGTCAGGGGCCTTTTGGAAGAGCTTATTCAGAGGAATTAATACATGTTTTCTGGTGGCATGTGGAGGTCTTTCCTGAAAAATGGACACACACTTTGTGTATATTTAGCAATCCTTACTTTCTTTTTTGACCCTTTCAGAAGGGTGGAAAAATTTCAGAATGCAACAGCAAACTTAGTATAGCAGTATGGCAGTCATGGGCAAGTAAAGTAGCTAAAGTACCAGCTAGTTTATGCTTCTTATATTCACAGTGTGGCTGCAGCCTGTTTTCTCCCCTCTCTGCATTTCCTCCAGCCTGTCTCTGGGTTTCTCCTCATCCTCCCATGTAGCTCTCCCACTGCCGGGTTGCAGCAGCTGGGAAAGGTGAACACACACACTGCTACAGAAGATAGCACGGGCGGTTTATGCATCGCATTCAACCAGATAGTGCATCCAACACGGTGTTAGAGCATTCAAGAAAGAGACAGATACCAAGCAAAATCATTTGGTCTTAATTTTATCCTGCAGTTGTTGATAACTTTCAGACCAGGACAATCCAGATTTAGTACTTGATGTTTGGCAAATTACTATAACTAAAAGCGAGGACGATTAGCCTGTGTTTTTAATCTATTTGCTGTTTGTTATGTTTGTTGTATTAAACATGCTTTGGGAAAGTGAAATAACCGATAAACATATGTGTCTTCTGAAATCTTGGTTGATCTGATATTTCCATGGTTACTAATTATGAAACTGAAAACATTTTCCCCAGGGGGAAATAGCCATGTGGATGCGGCCAGCACGGTTGCGATATGTCATACTAAAGTATATTTATGTGACGGAGATTTACCCTCCAGTTACCACTACAGTGCTTCTGAAGGGTGCTTAAGCACTGGCTTTAGGATCATCATATTTTTGGATTACAAAAAGACATTATTTACCTAGTATTTGCATATATCATATTTTATAGCAAGCTAACCTTTGCTAATGTACCTATTCCTAGCACCATTTTTCAATTGTGCTTCCCGGTTTCACTTTGCTGCCCAAGCAGCATAAGCAGGACAGAAAAAACTGGAAGTAGTTAAAGGATAACCATTCCAAGGAGCCTCTCCACTTTCTTCCCTTCGTGGGAGGTGGATGCTGGAATCAGCCTCTGACTGGGCTCCAAGCCCCCAAAACTGCTGTCCCTTCTTCCACAGTCAGAGCAGGGGAAGACATAGCTGGGCCTATTAAGCTGTGTAGATGCTTTCCCTCTTGTCTGCCTTTGTGTGTAAATATGTACAATTGACACAGTGCTTATTGCCCCAAGACATTAATCCCAAAGCATCTGTACACCTTTCTGATTTTGCTTCAGAGCAATTCTTACTCATTAGCGTTTTTCCCAAACCAACAGAAAAAGAGAGCAAGTTAAGTCTGAAAAATTAAAACTGAGCCAACTATCATATTTCTTTTCTTACTCTAGTCAGCATGTAATTATAGGTGTCCCTGCAGTATAGTATAAATCATTATCATCATTAACATTACCCTTAGGTAGGCAATTTCAGTGCTCCAAACCCACTTCTCTCAAGTTGTCTGGTTCTCAGTTTTGACTGGTAGGTAACATCACAGCTGAGTGTGTATATGTTATGTATAGGACGACTGTAGCTACCTAATTATTTTTATTGGAACTTTTTTATGACAACAGGAATGGAAACAATTAGTTTGGCTCCCTATTCCAGAATATATGAGAAAGAAAAAGCCAAGCAGAATGTTTGATTAAGTAATGCTGAGACTGGCTTCTGTTGAAAATAAGGAGATTCAAACCCTGACGCTTCATTATTTCTCATCACCCTGTGCAATGTAATAAAAATTGCATGGCATGTCAGAGGATTGACAGCAATACTTAGGTAACAAATGCATCACTAAGAGGTGAATATTATGTAAAAGCAACAAACATGGTGGGAAGTAACAGTATTTCCATGATTTATTCAGTGCTGTTTATACATCTGTTATAGGGAAGACAGCCGTGGCACATCCCCAGATGAAGAAACCTGCTCTAGAGACAAGTGTCTATGACACTATTTTGCAAATCCTTTCAGGAAGAACAGCAAATAAAAACCCCATGCGTTTTGTGGGACCCCCTGATGGGGGCCTGTAATCCAGGTTTCCTATTCTGTTTTTTCATGACTTTTACACACATGTTTTCAAAGATTCCACACTGTGACTTTTCTGATATTACCTACAAAAAAGGAATTTCTGGTGCAAAAGAACTTTAACTGAAAGTGTGCTCTCAGCAGTGTTATCTAGGCAGTGCACTGTCTGCCTGGGGTATTTTGGTTTATTTTGTTTGGGGGTTGGTGAACTAGTACCTGATGCGCACCCACTGGAACTGAAGTCTCAGGCATGTTGCCTGAAGAATCCTAAAGGAACAAGGAATAATGGGAGAGTTATGAAGTATTAAGAGAGTTAGTGGCTTGCAAGCCTTTTCTAAGGAGACAGAAGTGCACATGTGGATGTAGATCTTCAAGGCTGCATCCTGGTCTTTTACTATAATATCCGGTATAAATCTGTTTCAGTATAATGACAGCCTTTTCCATTCCTGAAAACAAGTAAAATTACTTTGAGGCTTTTATATCTTTTCTCAGCAAAAAGTGTCTCTTCTGGAAATATATCCATTTCCTTTCTCTGCCATTTTTTTCCCAAAAGTTATAAAAGCAAAATTATCACTTTCCCGGGCCTAGCCCCTTTGGTTGTCATGGGTGTGTGACACAGTGCAAGTGTCAAATCTGGTTTAGGTGAAAGGGTTGTGTATGAAGCAAGAGTTGTAATGCCTAGATACTATGAGAAGACTTGTGTTTAAATGTTGAATATCATGTGAATGTCATGTTTGAAAAAAATATGGGATGGGACTTGCCTGTCGATGAGTTCCTTGTTCCTTAAGTCCTTCCTCATTCTCACCTCGGAGCACAAGTCAAGCTTGATGTTTCTTAGGGTCTTGAGCCTCTGTGCTGCTAGCTGTGGCATCCCCAGAGTGAAGCAACATCTGCTTGGTCATGGGGCAGCTGCTGCTGCAGCAAATACCAGCCCAAGCTGAGGAAGAGCCACACATGTCCTGCTCAGTCTTTGCCACAACCCTCACCTTTTGCAAGTAAAAAAAAAAAAAAAGAAAAGAAATCAATTTTACAGGGCTACAGAAGGAAAGATAAGAAGGTGAAGGAAAGGATGAGGATGTCAGGGGTTGGAATCCAGGTGCAACATGATGTGTCAGAAGTGAACTGGCATCAGTTTCTGAACAGGATGACTCAGTTCTGAGGATAGTTCAAAATTGCTATTCAATGTAGTCTTTTAATAAATTGAGTGTACAAATAAATATAGATGCATTATGATAGATATTTTCAACTGTCAATTCTTAATCATCTTGTATATGTCTGGGAAAGCCTTCTATAGATCCGTGCACTTATGTAGCCTTGCAGTAATGGCTTTCATTATATAATGTCAAGGATCCTTATGTTAATTTCTTTATATATAATATAATGTTGTATGTGATTTCATTATATTTTGGATATGCTTAAGAGAATCAGTTGAACTTGGTGCTCTGGCTATGACAGTGCCCTCTGCCTGCTACCTAAATGTTTTGCAGGAGCTGTAGAATTTATTAGCAAAAATAATGGATGAGGATGATTGTATTAAATGACTGATAAAAATAATAGCTTTTTTAAATTATCCTGGTTTAGTAGAATAAGTACTTACACTAAGATGCATTTTGCTTATTTTTCAGAAAAGTCATTTGTCCATCAAGGCATCAACTTAACTTATTTGTAAACTGACATCAAGGAATGTAACTAAATACCCACAGATATTTTACGTGGGTAAACACAACATAATGCAAATACCATTGATGGAATAACTACATTAATAAAAAAAAAATCCTTTGTTTTGTGGAAGGAAATCCTAATGCATGTATAGCTTTGTTCTGATAGTCTGATTAATGTTCAGCATGCTTACTCAGGCTAAGTAAGTGATTCAAGGATGATTGCTCATACCCAATACTTAACTCTCCAGAGGGGAACTGAGCACATACTGGCCCTTATTCTATCTAGACCTTTTATGCTTTAGCCGTGGAAAACACAGTGAGGCTACCTCAGTCCCGGAATGGAAGACAAAACATTTCTATTGAGCTGGATCTGAAATGCCTAGATGGGAAGGTGGGGGATAAAGCAAGGTAAAGGGGAGGGATAAAGTTTTAATTGTAACCCCAAATCTACTGTGACAAGGTTTAAGACATTCCCTTTTGCCCAACTACTCCCTAAGAGCTTGACCTGTTTGCATTTTGGTGCTGAGGGGCCACCTTTCCCGGGTGCATATCTTTGTTTTCCACCAGCAAAGTCTTCTCATCTCATCCCTGACTGTAGAAACACTAATCTCAGGGAATCTTTTGGTGTTTCTACACTATTTCATTATATTACTGTGCTATGGGAGCTAGGGACATTTCCACTGGGGGAATGCAAGAGGTGCTTCACAAAAATCAGCTCAGCAGCTGTTTCTCGTGCTCCGCTCCTGTGGCTCTGACTTGCTTTATGTAGCCAGTGGGCTAAGACATGTCGCTGAATAGCCCACATAGCATATTTTGGGTGAATGGTATAAGGGGCAATTAGGTGTCCCGTGTTTTCTCTGATGTCACTCTTCTTCGAACCCTGTCAAGTTATGATCCTAGTAATTTCTGCATTCCTACCACTGCTTTGGGGAAAAATGTGCTTTGGTGCCCGTATCAAATCCCAAGGCTTGGTGTATGTTGCGTGTTAAGTTCTGAACGGAAGGAAGAAGAGAATATATTCTGTTGTCAGGAATGGCAGTTCACAAGGACTAGTTGCAAAACACAGATCTGGCAAATGCCAATGTCAGGCTATGGGTTGCATAATGTAAAGTAAAACTTCAGTCCTGCAAGGCACTGAGTGTTCTCAGTTGATGCTGAAGACCATGCTGTTAGATGATTCCTTATCCTCCAAAAGCTTTCTCTGTTAATTAAAAGCACCTTAAATGTTTTGGTTGAATGGAACAGTTTTTGGAGGCTCTGTTCATCTCTGCTTGTGTTATAGCATATAATTAATTTGGCAAAATCAGTGTATTTTCCCACTAATGTTAAGTTTCAGTCAGACTGAAGGAAGTCTTGCACAGTTTGCTTGTGTATGGATTTTGTTTTTGATGTCATTCATACGGTGGTACCATAACTCACTAGTTATATTCAACTGCTATTAAACTGGCTGAGTAATAAAATTTGATCCACAGAGGTCTGTCTTTGTCATCAGAACAACCAGTGTATTGGGAGTCTGTTCCTGTCATGCAGGGTCATCCCACACCACCAACAGTTGCAGGCAGCTAAAGTACTTTTCTCCTCAATGTCAAGCTGAAGGAGTATAAATTCTACTTTTGAAATGGCTGTTCAAGAGCTTTTGCTTTGCTGCTCTGCCAGCATCCTTTACAAAGGCCACAGTGTGTGAGTACAAAATAGTATTTCTTACCACTTAGCAGGATGCTCTTGGGTTCCCTTTCCAGCTCAGCAGGGCTCCAGCAGGGTGCCAGGTCTCTATTCTGTTCGTATCCGGTCCCTGCTCCTAGTTCCAGCATCACTGTTGGGGAGCAGCAGGGGCCGGCAGCTCTCTGGGGGCTGGGAAGCCAGGGGGACCCCAGCATGAGCAGAGCTAGGACCTGTCCTGCGGTACCCGAGAAGTGCAGGGGTGGTGAGTAAAGTGAGGTGCAGCAAAGAGTTCAGGTTCTGTGTTGAGCTGGCAGGGCTGGGGTAGGAATGGGAATCAGGGAGTCTGGGTTAAGGTCAGGTTAGCGATAGCAGCCAAATCAGTCCGATCCAGAGATACCAGGCAAGGCCATAAGGATGGGGCAAGTCCCAGGTTGAACTGGAAATTAGGCCATGGGCCAGGATCCAGGTCTGGAGCCATCTCGCAAACATCTCAGAAAAGCTCCACAGCTGGCGAAGGCGTCGCAGGCAGCTGTAGCTATCAGGGAGCCGCCTGGAGCGCCGCAAGCTCAGCTCCTAGCAGAGGAGTGTGTTTGGGACCCTGGTAATTCCTGAGAAACCCAATCTCTGCTTCGTGTGTGTGCTGACTAGAAAACATGTTTTTGCTGCTGTTTTAACCAGTGTGCTTCCTGATGTCCTTCAAGGACTACCGCTTGGGACCTCTTCTCCAACACATGAAGTTGCCAACAGCTGTTTAAAAAATTCACAGCGGCAAAATAGGACAAGTTTATTCATGCTTGTCCATGCTGTTTATCCACAGATCTATGGCATGTAATCTTTGCTCTGTACAGTCTTGGAGCAGACCATACTTGTCAATCACTGACAACACAGGAGTGAATCTTGGTTCCAGGCGCTGCCATTTTCTTTCAAGTGCAGTAGGCTGAGTAGCTTATCCTTGCTCCTGGGCAAATCTAAAGGTTTTTTTCTTTTAAGATCTTTAAGGCTCCTGTGGTATTTTTTTTTTATTATCAACAAAAGGATTTTTTTTTCCTTACAGAGAATAACTGTCCATAGACCCCTCCCTCTTCTGTAATGCAGAGAAAGAGAAAGCCAGATGATACCTCCTGTTTGCCTCTGTTCGTCCATTTCTTGATTCTAGCAGAGATGGAGCCAACCCCTGAATGCTCAGGTGAATGAAGAGGTCAGGACAGCGACACCTCCCTTGACCTTATTGACAGTCCACCTCTCTCCGACAAAGAGGTTTCTGTAAAGCATTAGCAGGGCACCAACATCAACTTTACCCAGTCTGGCACAGGTGCTGACCTGCTAACACCTGGCAGGGGTTTGTGCCTTGATTGGCACAAGCGACATGTCTCCATTCGTGTGATCTAAACCAAAATACCAGCCTCTCAGCCGCTGTGAAGATGGGCTATGACTGTTCAGCTCTCCAGGGACTAGCTACCACCTTCTCTTTCTCAGCAACTGCCAAAGCAGAAGTCCTTTCATGAAGTCGCAAAGATTAAGCTTACAAAAACCTCTTTAATAATATTTGCCCTTTTGGGAACCCATTCTGAACCAGCCACCCCAATCCCTCAAAGACTGCCAAGGATGCTCACGATGCTCCATTTTTGCTGCAGTAGAAATGGGGCTTGGCTGGTCAGCTCTGTCCCATTCCCTGCCGTTTTTTAGGCAAGAATCCACCCAAGTGCCTGCACCCGAAAGCAAAGGAAGACAATCACTATTCCTTCCTCCTCCTGCCTGTCCCTGCCTTCCTCTGCAGAGTATTTAGTTCTAGAGATTTCTACAAAGATGACAATCAAAATCCCTTGTTTCTAAACTGTAAATCCAGTGCAAATAATATTTTGTTCCTTGTTCCTGTGTTAGCTTTTTCTGTTCCGGAGAGCTGTGGCTAAGGCACTTAATATTTTCTCCTTGTGCACTTTTTTCTACAGACTATTTCACTGCTTAGGACTAGGCACTCCAAGTCCAACACTGGAGAAGTAAATTTGAGGGAGAACTACAGTTCTACAAAAATCTTTTTAAAGC